GAAAGCAAACGACAGAATATTGCTAGAGAGCAGGAAAGGAGGTGAAAGGAGACAATTTTAGAGAAGAAAATGTTTTCGGTCTCTACCCGGATTCGAACCCGGGACCTTTGAATGAGAGGCCAACACCTTAACCTCTAGGCCACGAGAGCCCCCTAAAGTTTATCTTATCTGATCTTACCTTAAGGTGCCCGACAAGTACCCTGTCACCCCTAAATCCAGGACCATCCTCACGATAGAGGAAGAAAACAAGCTTGGGAGTGGCTGACGGTTTCAGCGAGGCGTGGCGTGGGGAGGACAAAGGAGGACCTCTGCCTTGTTGTTCGGAGAATCCTCAACAGTGAGGGCAGAACAACAATATTCAAAGGTTTTTACTTTGTGCTTTTTACGTAGTCTACAACATAAAACTGCCTGCGTCTGTAGCGCAACTGCTAGGCGCCATGCTGTTTCCCGCAGAGGACGAGGGTTCGATGTCCGCCTGGGGCGGATTTGTCTCGATTTTACCACTCGGACGTTGAGTCCCTCACAGCTCAGGTTGGCCCTGGCAGGTAGGGTCGAAGCCCGCCTCCTAAATGATCTATATTGTGTCGATGGGGTAGAAAACTTCTGCAAAAATAAACTGCCAGCGTGCCTGTGGGATCGAAGGTCCTGTAAGCCTTTGCCTAATCAATCCCATTGTATCATTTGAACTAGTTCAATCAAGACCACAGATGTCAAGACAAACAGATTTTTTGTGATTGTTGTTAATTAACAGAATGCTTGGTTCATTACAACCTAGAAAGTGGTAACGATTAACCATAACTTTCACAGATAACTGCCCGGGAAACGCTGGGTGCGATCGTTCTTCGAGCCCCATCCGAAGCTGAGACAAAAGAAGGCCATGGTTCTTGGCGACCAGAGGGCGAGGATGACGGAAGATAAAATCAGGGCGTGGTTCGAGAAGGTGGAGAAGAATCTGGCTAAAGATGAGGTGGACATCATGAGCGTCGACCCCCGGTGCGTTTTTAACGCCGACGAGACCGGCTTCCCCCTCCATTCCTCTGGACAAGTCATCGTGACCGACGAGGGCAACCGTCACCCTTACCTCATCGGCAGTGACAACAAGCGGCAGATCACTGTCCTCAGCTGCGCCTCTGCCAGTGGTCGCCTCTTCCCCCCCACTGTCATTTTTCCAGGTCAGCGCTGGACCTTCAAGACCTGGGAAGATTTCCCTGAGGCTTCCTGCGTCCAGACATCCGATGGATGGATCAAAACTGCGGTGTTTAAGACGTGGCTGACCTTCCTCGGCCCATCGTGCTTTTTTTTTGCGACAGGCACACCAGCCATACGAGCCTCGAAGTGCACGACCTGTGCAAGGAGCACGCATTATCTACTTCCTGCTCCCTGCCCATGCGTCACACTTCTTGCAGCCCCTGGACCAGCTCTTCTATGGAATCCTAAAGGAGGGGTGGAGAAAGGGGATGCACGACCACAGGAACATTGCCCGAGTGGGAGAAATTTTCCCTAGGACCTTTGTGCCTGTGTTCAAGGACGTTTGGACACGGGCATATAGGGAAGGCAGAGAGGAAGTGTTGGTGAAGGCGTTAAGGAAGAGTGGGCTGTCACCATGGGACCCGAAAGCCCCTGACTATTCCAAGTGTTAGGCCAGCAAAGGTCTATGAGAAGCCGGAAGCCCCTGTCTCCACAAGTTGAGTTGTTCCTCCGTCTGTTGTGTGTAATGATTATGTTGTGTGTAATGATGATGTTGTGTGTAATGATGATGATGTGTGTAATGATGATGTTATGTGTAATGATGATGTTGCGTGTAATGATGATGTTGTGTGTAATGATGATGTTGTGTGTAATGGGGATGTTGTGTGTGATAATGATGTTGCGTGTACTGATGAAGTTGCGTGTAATGATGATGTTGTGTGTAATGATGATTTTGTTTGTAATGATATTGTTGTTCCTATCCCTGTAGTGGGTGGTTGGCGGGTGCTCTGGTGTGGTTTGCTTCTTCTTTCCTATCAAACATCTATCGTCCTTATCTCCCCTTCTTCTTTTTATGTTTGTTACTCTCTTGTGACACCTCTAATCTTTTGGCGCTCATATGACCGTATGCAGTTGCGAGCGCCGTAAAACCCTCTTCTAAAAAAAAAAACAACTACCCCTGTTGCTTCTTTTCCGAATGTAGAACTTGCTTAGCCCTTCCCCGACAGCCCTTGTTCGTTGTGGTGAGTGATCAACTGACCTAGATTTAGATTTCTCGACCACAGGTCTTGAATTTTCAAGGATCGAACCCGAGGACTTCCTGGATCATGAAGCAGAGTTTCAGCTACCTTTGGTCTCAACAAAAGCTCGGGATCCTGTGGACTGTGGACGACCAGGACCATGATGACTATTGTCTGCCTGAGCAGGCGTTGAGACCAGTGGAAGGTGAAACTCTGGTAACACCATAAGCCCCCCCCCCCCCCTTCCAAAAAACCCCAACTGCTTTGTCCTGGACAATTTAATTGACCATATAATTGCCACTGGATGGACACATGTACTGGGTCCGCCGTCGCCCCTGGCATAGATATATCTAACATCGAACCAAAAGAGAATGAGGGGGAGTACAAAAAGTACCTTGATTTATACAATCAGCTGGCTGGAACGCTAAGGTTTCAACACTAAAGCGGGCTCAGCCCCCCCCAAAGTACGTTTCGGGGGCAAAATACAAAGAGTGGGAGGAGGTAAAAAAAAAGTTGGAAGAAGAGAAGAAGAAGGAAGGAGTGGAAGAGAGGAAGAGAGAAAGGGAGAGAAAAAGAAGAGAGAAGAAGAGAAAAGGTTAACAAAGTTGGAAAAGCAGAGAAAAGGGAAGAAGAAGAAACAAAAGGGAAAGAAGACCAAGAAGTGTGGGGTGGATGAGAATGTAGCAAAGAAGGATATGGTGAGAGGAAGCTGAAGGAAGTGAAAGTGGGAGTAAGGGAATGAAGAGGAAAGTACAGGCATAAGATGATGAAGCAAAAGAGAAAAAAAAAGGGAGACAGAGGAAGAGAATGAGAAGAAGGTGGGATTGGTTTATGATGATGACAGCTCAGCTGATGAGAGTGCTTTTACTTTAAGAGATCCGAATGCATGTTATGTTTGTGGGGTGGGGTGGGGGAGGGGGGTTGAGAAAGATGGATGGATGGGGTGTGACGTGTGTGAGTTTTGGTATCATAAGGGGTGTTATGGTCAACAGAGTGCTATGTAACACTGTATTGAGTGAAATATCAAAAAGTGAGCTAAAACATTTTACGTTTGTGTGCCCTGAGTGGGAGTAAGATGTAGCCTATATAAGTGAGCTTGTTGTGATATGTGTGGAAGAGTAAAATGAAACGTTCATGTCTGTGTGTGAGTAAAGATGTTCATTTGAGTTTGTTCTGATGGTTGTTCTTTTTAGTACATGTATGTCAATTAACATTAGTTTTGTTTTAGGCCTACTGTACAAAAAGAGTTCATCTTTGCTTCTTTCCTCTTTTCCAATAGCTAGTTATTTCTTTAAGCGTGTGAAAACATTTCAACATGAGTATGCCGGTATAGAGTGCATGAACTCCGCAGGTGCCGGTATGGGGTTTATACAAAGGAGTTCCCCTTTGCCTCCTTCCTCTTTTCATATGCCTAGTTATCTATTAAAGTAAGAGGAGCTAAATGTGCTTCAATTTGAGTGTGCCGGTATGGGGGGTGTGGGGTGCATGCTATGGCATTTGGCATGCGTCAAGTAGTGTCTCTGATTACACTATCAGACTAAAAACTTCACCTCATACCGACAGCAGGATGCTGATCTCTCAACGAAACAAAGTTTTGAGTCGGTGTTCTTGAAAGAGCCGAAGTTGGGTTAAAAACAAGGCTATTAAAAGTAATGGAGGATGCTCTGTGGGCACACCTGATAGGAGCCCTCTCTCGCAGAGGAACTATGGTCGACCTGCGCTGCACGACTGCCCGACTCACGCACTGAAATCTAGATAAGAAAGAAGGTTTTGTTCCAAGGTCCGTGTAGTCAGTTAGTAAAAATGCCATCCACCTGTGTTGTGTGTAAGAACCGTTTATGATGTCGCAGTTCGTGATTTAGACCATAGTCGGCGGCCAAATTTGCTCCTCACCTCGGCGTGCTGCTCGTGGCGCCGCGAAGAGAGAGAGAGAGGTGAGAGGAGGCTCCATTAGTTCTAAGGTCCTTGGCTAAAACCAAGGGCCAAGGGTAGAGATCTAAACTTCCGCTTCTGGGAGCTTCATATGAAGTTCAAAGAGGCTAACCAATGAACCAACGAAAGGCAACAATAGGCCTGCCAACCAAGCCTTCGTCTTCGTGGCTTCTTGTTCGTTTGATGCCCAAGTCTAGATTCTAGAAGCTAGATTCTAGAAGCAAAGCGTGAAGGGCGTTGATTTCAGCGATACCACTGTCACTAGGTCAGTACAAAGTGCTACGCGGGTAGAATCTAGATCTAGAACCTAGTAAAAATACTTTTAAGTCAAAGTGGATGTCTAGCAGATATAGATTCTAGATTCTAGGGCGATTTTGTAGTTTCGTTCGTGAAAGTCAAGCAGGGGGGTTTCAGGGGGCCCCCCTGACCTAAAAAAAAGTATGGAGGTGGGGGGGTTCAGGGGGGCATGCCCCCCTGAATTTTATCCTAATTTGATGTTTTGCAGTTAGGTTGCATCCCTGCTCTTTGTGTAGCCTAATTCAAATAGATTCTAGTATAAAATTGGTCTTCAAGACTTTTGGATTTTTTCTCTGAATATGTGGTAAATTTTTACTTTCACTCCCGCACACAGATGCACTGTTTCAGGGGTCAAACTGCAGTACTGTTTGCTGCAGATCACACATAAAGCCACTAAAACTGTCGCAAATCAATTATTTTCAAGACAATTTCAAATCTAACTGTAAAATATCAAATTATGGGTAA